CTTCTATATACTGATCAAATCTTTTATATACTGATTCTACTTTTAAAACAGAATGGAACAGGTGGCTGAAGTTGGCCTGTGAAGTGTGAACATTGAAATGTGATCAAATATCTGGGACTAATGTAGTGACCTAATCTTAAAATAGAAACGGGTCAATTAAGCTGAAAGGCGACGAAACAAGCTTACAATTCAAAAATGGGGAGCCGAAACAAGTTTCAAGAGATATCCCATTATCTTAAAAAATTCTTTAGTTTTTCCAATATTAAAGGATTGGTTTTAAATCCATCGAAACTGCCCTTTACCGCATTCGTCATAATTGTTGTGGAACTAATACTCAACATACTGATTGTGGAGAGAGTACCTTATACCGAGATTGATTGGAAAGCGTACATGCAAGAATGTGAAGGTTTTATAAACGGTACATTTGATTATAGCAAACTTCGTGGCGATACAGGGCCACTAGTTTATCCAGCAGGTTTTATATACATATATTCTATCTTTTATTTTTTAACAGACCAAGGTAAAAATATTAAACTTGCTCAATATATATTTATCGGTGTCTATGTACTACAGTTGTATTATGTTTTTCGAATTTACACAAAAACTAAAAAAGTGCCACCATATGTACTTCTCATTACAATTTTAACTTCATATAGAATACATTCAATTCATGTTCTTAGGTTGTTTAATGATCCAATAGCTGTTTTGTTTTTGTACATTTCACTTAGTTATTTTTTGGAATCAAAATGGTATTTAGGTAGCATTTTCTATAGTATAGGTGTGTCTATAAAAATGAATATACTTCTATATTCTCCTGCTTTATTCTTTTTTTATTTAGTCAACTTAGGATTAAAAGAAACTATAAAACAAATTTTTGTATGTGGTTTAATACAATTATTCCTTGGCTTGCCCTTTTTATTAACAGCGCCTGTATCCTATTTGCAGGGCAGTTTTGATCTTGGCCGTGTTTTTAATCACACATGGACAGTAAACTATAGATTTCTTGATATTAAAGTTTTTGAAAGTCCATATTTTCATTTAACTCTATTAGCCATTCATGTTTTATTATTACTAATATTTTTACCAATGTGTATAAAATATTTCAAAAGTTATTGTAGACTGAGATATGTACAAAAACAAGTGCAACCCCAAATAGATGCCAAAAATTCTGAAAATAAAAGAAAAGGTCTGGAGAAAAAAGAAAAACAAAAGCTCCATGAAAGCTGTGATGAAAAACTAACAAAAGACCAAGAGCAGTTCCTGAATTCTTTTGAATCAATGTTACAGAAAACAACACAAAAAAGTCGTAAGAAAAACAAAATTTTGGATGAAACTCCGGATGTACAATACAGTATAGACTTTGATGTTGTATCTCAACTGTTCATCTTACCAATGTTTTTAACAAATTTTATCGGAATAACCTGTGCTAGAAGTTTACATTACCAATTCTATTCATGGTACTTTCATAGCTTGCCTTATCTATTATGGTCTACAAATATCTCAGTTGTTGGACGATTTTTGATACTAGCATTGATTGAATTTTGTTGGAATACATATCCAAGTACCAACTTCACCAGTATTTTGTTACATACTTGTCATATAACTATTATCTACAATTTATACAAAAAGATATCTCATGAGTTGAAAGTGGTATCTAAAATGGATTAATTAATAAGATGAATAAACATGTTTAATATTTACAACAATTTGGTAAAAAGAAACATAAGTACAACTTATTTCATCAACTAAAATTTATACCATAGTTTCTTGTTCTTTTTATTCTTCTTTATAATAAATATGTCATGAGTATCCTGAGGATGAGATGTATGAAGATGTTATAAATAAAATGATGTTGTAAGACGTTATGGTGAACAAATGTTAAAAATGAAATGTTAATTGTGTTATTTTGTTGGAAATCAAATAAATTTTGAAGTTTTATATTATTTGTATTGTTTAAAAGTGATATTAGTACACTAGGATTATTTGACATTTTTACAGTATTATGATATTAGCATAACACTGATAATATGCATTCAAGTTCTCTTTTTTTTCTCTGTGATTGATGCAATTTCATACTGTAGACTATGTACAGCGTCTTTAGGTCCATGCTTGATAGATCGTAAGCAGAGTCGATGAGATGAAGTTATTTTCGACTACATACTGTTGGAGTCTGGTATGGGATTGTGACAGACAGTCGTTCACTTTTATTCGGGTGGTTACAACAAACTAGCTCGTCTACGTTAACCTAAATGCTACATGTGGATGTAGTTTTATTGGGCTGCCGCACGGTGGGCTGAAAATCGCCTTTCAAATGAGACTTGAATTTACACGCAATACTACTAATGAAACTACAATAATATAGCTTATACATCAGAATAAGACAAAGGCTATAATTTATATACGTATTTCATGTCTTTCTGTCTAAATGTAACGCCTTCAGCCTATTCTACGCAGACGTAGTCGCGGGCAGCAGTAAGTTACAAATACAATATAAGAACTCTGATTGAAAGAGCTTTTATAAATGTCCCACTGCTGGAAAAAGGTCTCCTCTATACAGAGGGTATCAGGGCAAAGTCCACTCACGCGGCCCCACTGCGGATTGGCGCATAAAAGGCTATTGTGCCAATTGGGAAGTTTTCGGAAGAAGCTTCAACTATCTGTGTGCAAGGATATATCGGCCAACCTTGCGATTGCAGAGATATCCTTATTATTCATGTCAGCGCCATAAAAATCTTTCTTTCATTTTTGCAACATGCAATTGCCGCGATTCAGCACACAAGAAATGTTAAGCATAAATACAATTAATAAAGATATTTAGCCATCAAGGAAGGCTACGTATGTGCAACAGGCGTAATATAAATTTTAATCTGTAGTAATTTGTGTGTGTGTGTCTGTCTCTGAGCGCATGTATCTAAAGCGTATTCAGAAATGCTTCAGAAACATTTTTAAGGAACTGCTTTCGTTTAAGATGGAATAAGTCAATTTTTTCAAAATTATTATTATAGATGTGCATGCACCTATATAAAATGTAAGACCTATTAGATAATAATATTAATGTTTAGTAGAATCCGTTTCAAGACTAAAAAAACCCTTTAAAATTCAAGTCTCCGTCTTTGAAAGATTTTCAGCCCGAGCCCCGAGTGGGACCAAATTAAAAAAACGCTGCAACCATGCTCCACGAAGGAGCATGCAATCGTAAAGTACTATACTACGGATGCAATTCCGATAATTGTGTACTATATAAATCTGTAGTTTCTTCAGGTATTTTTAGGAACATGCGCAATAGAATAGACATGACATACAAACGTGGGACAAGTACGCAAGCTTCATATAGAAGAGCTGATAATAATCTACCTAAAACATACCCGAATTTATTTCTTAAAATGAAATGTTGATGTTGAACGTAACTCAAGGGATCGCTAATGAATAAAATCCATATCTATTATTTATACGTTACAAAAGTTTATCGTTGAATGTACTTTGTAAGGTCTTGCATGCTGTAAGGGATGCACACTAGATGATGCCAAACACTGGAACCGTACTCTATGAAGGGAAATAAACCATATCTCTAAATAATGAAGTGAGCTACTCACTCGCTAGCTTCACAACTCAAATAGAAAGTACATAGATGTATATTAAGATTTTTACGCCGTGTGTCATCGGCCGCTTAGCTAAGACCGTAAAGCGTCTAGGCGCGAAACCAAGACGCAGGTTGTCGTGCTAAATTTTGTTTAATTTCTCTACAAAATTTAAATTTTGATCTCGAGTGCAGAGACCAGTACTGAAAATAAAAATTAACCATATATATATATATATATATATATATATATATATATATATATTGAATAAAATATCAATGGTCTTTAAGTGACATTCTGAACACAATGTATGATTATGATGCGTCTCTTGGTGTTATTATAATAAACAAAATAAGGCTAACGACGCAAAATATGGAGTGTTCTCAAGATGATATTTTAAATCTACGTGAGGGTACACGAAAAGTGTTGGGAAGGAAAAGTTATGGCTGGCTTCAATATTAATAACATGAAAACAACAATTTAAGCATTTTGAGGATTATTTATTATGAACCATATTAATACAACTAATCCAAGTAATGAAATCTAATTATTATCTTAAATTTAGAGATAGAGGCCCATAATACTTCCTCTGATATCACAATATCCAACTTTACTACAACTCAACCCCAATCTTCCCAAACATGTTGCAGATATATTTGTCATATCATATCGTGATATACATCTTGTAATGTACCAATGCTAATAAAATACAAAACTGTAATGCGTCATCGAGTCATTTGCCACAGAAATAAATAAGTGAATAAAGTAATAAAATGCACAGTTCAATAAGCGATTAATCAAACTAAACTTTACTATGAATATTTCTAAGGTGATGAAAACTACAAATTGAGTGTGAAACAAAACTTGAAATTCAAAGAAAATTGTTTAAGAAATCCCCTCATCTCTACATATTTTTTATATGATAGAATATGGCTAACGATAAATTTTAATATTTTTATATCTTACACACATGCTACTTAAGTGTGTTAAGACAAAGTTTTAAAGGTAAACATACATTGCAATTTATGCAATTTTATGAATAAAATTTACCATTTCGGGATACCATCTAGAGATTGAAACTTGAATTATGTATTGTAATATTATTAATCGCTACATACTTGTGCAGACCTTATTTTGGGTCAATCAGTGTGGTTGAAATTTTAAGATTATTGAATTTGGATGTTCAGTCCATAATAACCTAGTTTTTATATTAAGTCAAAGATTCATCAAGAGAATACGAAACATAATTATAATAGTGTACGCATACTACCAATTATGTGACATAAGAGCTATGTTTATGGCGTATTATAAATACAAAATACGTAATAGAACCGTTCATCTAACACGGAAAATACAACGGCAGTCTTACATGACTGGACTTATAGCTAGAATATATAAATGTCGGTGGCGAAATGGCGTCTACACGAAGCCGAAATTTTTAGTTTTGATAGCGAGAAGCAGTTTATGCTTGAGTACGTGGCGTGAAGAGTACAACGGGATATACAGCCGTGAAATACAGGTATTCGCGGTGGGCAAGTGGGCGTCGTCCGCCGGCCGGATGGTCACCGAGGGCATCGGCTGGAAGCCTTCTTCGGATGCTGGTAGCGCCGGTGAACCAGTCCAGAAATAAACCTGTGTCATAAATTATATTAATTAAACTTTCAGAAAGACCAAACAAATAAAGTCACTATTTAAAATTTTTTGTCAATAAAATAATGGGAAAGCAATCAAAAAATAAAACAGTTCACGAAACAAGATAAATAAGAGGCGTAAGTTAAATGTTTATTGAAGTAAAACTTCTTAAAGCGCAATTAAGGGATACATTCAGTTATCTTCTTGGACGGCGACAATGCAATATATTAATTAAATCATTAATAATACATTACATTATTTATATTAAATTATTATTAAATATTTTAAAGATTGAATTTAGTTTTACTTCAACCGCGTATACAGGTTAGACGCACTCATTTTTTAGACTAAAAACTTACCAGATCCTGTCGCTCAAGATGAGTCATCTTGTCAACAATAGCCCAAAGCCAACGCTTGAACCGAACAAGTCGCTCTGGAGGCTCGCCGCTCTCGTCATTAAAGCTTGTGTAAGACACTAAAGCAGCGACATTGATATCACCAACTCCATTCAATAGAAGCCTCAGATCTTCGGCGGTCAAACCTTCTAGAGCAGACTCAGGCAAAACGTCAAGCACACCTACGCGTATTGCCTGAAATTACAAATATGTTAAATAACAAAAAAAAAAAAAATAGGAAATATAAATGTGCTGGATCAAGCTGTTATGATGAACTTTGGAAATTTAGCCAACATTTAAAAAAAAGTAGGTTCTTAAAAGCAAATTCTCTCAGATAAATTTAAAGAAACAAACTTTCAGCAGATTTAAGAGGTCTTATAGTTATTCCAAACGATTATTTTCTACGCATCGATATAAAACGGTTGTACATTTTACCTCCAATGCCTTCTCTTGTGAGTGTACCATGCGGTGCTGTGCATATTTGCGCACATAATCGTACACGTTGAGTGCGGTAACTTCGATTTCGCGACCACCTGGCACTAGTTCCACACAACCACCGCCTTCTTCTTCACACATTTCCAAACTAAAAAAAAATATATACACTATAATTTATTGGACCAGATAAAAGTTTGTGTTATGTATCATATATGAACAGAAATTGTAAAAGAAAATATTTAATTTGCAATAAATCGAAATAAATAAATTATATTTTGTGGTGGAATAGACATAGTACATTTTCTTATAAAAAAAACGTAAAATCCTTACAATTAAAAGAGTTATGACAAAAATTATAAGTACCTAAAGTTGAGATCAAGCGCAGCGAATAGTGAGTGAGAATCGCCTGTCTCAGCATCAACGACGAGTTGTCGCAGGCTCTCGTAGACGACTGGATCGAAGAACGCCAAGTCGTGGAAGCGTATTGGCCTGGCCAATATGTACTTCAGTACGTGCCGATTCAGGAACATCGGGCATAGTTCATTTTGCAGTAAACACAGCCCAATGATTCTACAAAACAATAAAAAAAAATCTTATGTATACATATTAAAATATATGAATTTATAAGTGTGTAAGCGTATTTTTTGCTAGGGTATTCGTTATAAAAGCCGCCGTTCTTTCGATTGGTAATCCTATGTGAATGTGTTACTGTAATTGAGCGTCGCGTAGGCTGCTGCTTCTGCGTGAAAGGTCACCAAACGTCGGCTTTTTAGAAAACACGCACAAACAGTATTGTGCTAAAGCAAATTGACAACTGTCACATGGGAAGGACCTTCACACTCTTTATGTTTCGAGTATATGATGACCATCAGAAAGGCAAATACCCGTGCTTTTAAATAAAAGCACGCATATTAGAGACTTCTTAAAAAAAATTAAATTAAAAAGAGACAAGCGGCGCGCACCTGCCAACGTTGCGGAACGCATTGATGCGTTCGGAGGTAGCGCGACCTTGGCGCGGCGAGTAGTAGCCGCGCTTGCCGGGCGCGTAGAAGAGCGGCGCCGCGTCGTCGGCCGCCGCGCCGGACGGGCCCGCGCCCAATGCCCCGCCGCCACCGCCGCGCTCCGACAGCGAGAATACGTCCAGGTCTGCAGACGAATCTCGATTGTGCATTGCATAGCTAATCATTGGGTTCAAACTTTACCGAGTCGATTGTATGTCTCCGAATTAGCTTGAAACAAATTGACAAAAGCGATCTAATTTTATTAAAATGGAATCAATCGAGACACTTACCTAAAATGGCTTCTGAAGGATGCAAGACTATGAGATCCATTGCTTCGCGCACCTTCTGTCTTAGCGCGTCCTCACTGGCTAGTAGTACGAGAAGTTGTGCGGGCGCCAGCTCTAACAGCATGCCGGTTATCTTGCCGGCAAATGTTGGATGTAGAGAGTGCACCTGATAATTTTTCCATCGATAAATTCCTTTTATGTTAATCACAAAAATGATGTACTTTGTTTAAACTAAAGCACCACTTACTCTTGGATAAAGTCTTTCGCCGAGTTGTGCCTGATGGAGAGTCAGATGATCGTTATGGCCACCAGGTCTGTCTCCACTGTAGCCAGCTCCCTCTGTGCCCGGTGCAGCCTAAACATGTACATGTTACAAAATCCGAAATGAATATAAAAAAAATAGTATCATTTATTGAATTTTTATCTTCAAGTCGTTCACATTGTTGTCATAATAATTACGTATAACTACTTCTTCTCTCCTCTCTCTTAAGTGTTATCCTTTGGAAGGATGTTAATGCTTATTAGGAATGTACTTTATTATTTCATATGACTTTTTAGTGTAGTTAATTCTGATTTGCTTGTGAGATGCATACATACACCAACATGTGGTGGGAGCAACACGGCAAGCAAAGCAATTAAAACTTTCATGAACGCAAGGTAAGTTTATTTGGCATCCAGAATATAAACCGTTGTAAAACTTATAACCATGTAAGGCGCATATAATATACCTGCGGCGAATATGGCCGCGCGTCGACGCTCAATACGCGTCGAGGTTCGCGCGCGGCAGGTGGGCGCGGCGCGGCTCGTCCCGGCGCCCGTCTCGCTGTGTCTTTCGCGCGGGCCCTTCCAGCTCCACTGTTTAATCATAATAGAGAAGCAATAGGTTAGTAAATTACATTTTTAGATGTTTAATAATACTCTAACAATAAATTAAATACTAACATGTGTATATGTGGGAATGGAATGTGAGAATTAAGCGAAAACTATGGTAGCACACTTATATGCATAAGAAAGATGAGAGATTGTCAATTTTATTTAGTTTAATGTCTTGCTTTATTGTTATAAATAATTAAAAATAACGACGATCATCATTCAGAATTATGCGGTCGACATTAAAACTAGTTCGGTACTACATAAAACTTTAGTTCGGTTTATGTGTTCAGTTTATAATGCGAAACAACAATATTTCAACAATTTGATGTTATAAAATAGGCATGTAGGGGGAACATATACCGGGTGCCACTATTGCTGCTGGCGGCTCCGGCGTTTGCACTGCCTGAGCCCGAAGTGCCATTGGCAGAGCTGCTATTCACTCCGCTGCCTGATGTCGGTTCAAGGGGTGGTAGTTTTTCATTAGCTAGCAATGCCTGTTGGAAAACAAATGATTTGTTATGTTAATTTTTGGGTTCTGTACCCAAAGGGTAAAAAGGGAGGGTTATCACCCTATTACTATGACTCCACTGTCCATCTGTCAGCAGTCTTTATCTCATGAACCATGATAGTTAGAAATTTGAAATTTTCACAGATGATGTATTTCTGGTGCTGCTATAACGAAAAATACGGAAAAAAAACAGAATTAAACAATGTCTATGCAGGGCTCCCATACAAGAGACATGATTTTTTTTGCCGTTTTTATAGATAATGGTACGGAACCGTTCGTGGACGAATCCAACTGGCACTTCGCCGTTTTTTTATTTGTTGTAAACTACATTTCAATTGCGGTAGGAAGACATTTTCCTATCTGACAAGGAAGTTTGTCATACACATATTTCATATGAACAAATACCCGGTTTCAGCAAAATTGTCTGTGGTTCAGACAAATACTTGTCCTGTGTCGGAACCCATAGGCAAATGTATCAGTCTGTCAATCCATGCCATAGCCAAAAAGCATAAAACATTCAATTTTACTGTTTGAAACTCTTTTGTTTTGACGATGATGAAAGTTACGACGAAATCCATAAAAATAATGTTATCCTTAAAATAGTCAGTGATGATCTAAGACTATAACTATGAGTGAATAAATAATTATTAAGCCAGTTCTCTGACTTGCTGGTGGATAAAGTTTAATTTATCGTTTTTGCATTGACAAAATTTTTCCAGCCTGGCTAACTGACTTAAATTTTAAACCAATTAGATACACAAGATAAATAATTATTCCGTGGCACAACGTACCTCGGCAACGCTTGTGTAGAATGAGCGGGCAACGCCGCTGCCCTCGCCCGGCTCGTCGCGGAAAGTAACCTTCACGCGGTTGACGGCCAGCGGTGGCTGGGCGCTGTGCGCGCGTCTGTTCTGCCCGGCGAAGGCGCTATTCAACTCCGCGAAAGTCTGCTGCAGCAGCTTGGCACGGTCACGCTCCATCTGAACGAATACAATTTCAAATCGTAAAGTGTATTCAATAACACCGAGAAACAATGGCTTTCTGAGTGTACCCCGTACAGTCGCAGTTTCCACTTATAGGCAAAGATTTTCTTTGAACTATCATTACATTACTAGGATACATTAACACTATCTGGCTAGGAACAGCTTCAAAGTCATCCATTTATTTTGATTATTTTCTTAATTATAATCATAATTACAATTGTTTCCATGGCGAGCGCGAAGTCAATGTCAATGAATTGAATGAATTACCTTATGTAAAGTCAAATCCTTCTGCTGAGAGTTGCGCAGCTTCTCCATGTCGCGCCTGAACTTGACCTCTTTCACCGGGAAACCGCCTAGCTCGGCGACGACGGAGCCCGACTCGAGGCCCACGTCCTCAGTGAACACGCGCCCGAAGAGATCCAGCGACAGCCGCCAACGGCCCAACAACAGGTCGTGCGACACCGACGCGCCGAGGGACGGGCAAGTGCGACTAACGAAATAAACACCAATATCAACCTCATTGATACTTATTCAAGGAGAAATAATGACATATTCAAGAATGAAAATATAACATTCAGTAAAATAAGAGAGGTCTGAGCTCTGTAGACTTTATAATAATCCTTCAACAATTTCATAAAATAGATCAATAAATTCTTGACACAAATAACAGAGCATTGATTTCTGAATATTTAAATATTGAAACAACTAATTTCATGATACATCTTCCCTATTGAAGTTAAAACGTTTTAACTTTTTTCTTGTTGCTTTGGATGCAAAATTTATAATTCCGAAATATAAATCCAGGTAAATAATAAATACAACAGTACTATCAAAAATATTATTGAACAATATTATATAGGATACAATTAATTAAAGCTAAATTGTATAATACATACGCTTGAGCAGGTGCGTTCAACACTTGCGGCGGCAACAACGAGGACGATGGCAGACCTGTTGTCTCCACTGTCACATGTGCCGAAATCTCCTGGGATTCTAGAGGATCTGCTACACTCAACAGTTCACCCTGAAAGCAGTGTATAATGTAGGAACTACTTCGCGATTAGAAACAATGGCGCAAGCAAGAGATTGAAGGTAAAGTATGTAGAAACTAAATTTTATGATGTGTAAATTAAAGCCTTTGAATGTACGACGAGTTTGGTGACATTAGTATTTTATTAATCTCTGAAACTGATTTTGTTAGCGATATTGAGATTGATGCCCGACTAATATACTATAAAACACGGAATTTAAAATAATTAATCAGTTTTAGATGCTCCGCTAGGTTTAAAACAGACTTTTATTTACAGGTATAAACATGAGATGGACATTACTGATATTTTGCAACATGTATAACATTTCAACAATTTAGTGAAGTATGTTTTCAATATTTTTTTTTTTTTGGAATTAACACATTTTTTTGTCAATCACTTGTTTTAGTTGATTCACACTAGAAAATCCTTTAACATAGTAGAGAAGAGAAGAAAAGGAAATGCATAACATTTGAAAACAATTTAACACACCAGCATCAAATTTTGTGCACGATTGTGATAAGTTCAAAAGAAGTATCCAATTGAAGAGTTAGGGTAAAAATTTTTATAAAGAAAAAGTCCCCCAAATAAGTGGAGTGACTTACAGCACGTACAATAACGGTCTTGCCAGGGCTGCGAGACGACGAAGCGCGTGGTTCTTGACCCATTCCTGAACCACTCGGCCCTGTTGAGTTATAATGTTAAGTTTAATAAGTGTTTCCTAAAAAAAACTTATAAAAAATATATAAGCTACTTACCGGCTTTAGGAGAGGTTATGGTTTGTTGGTGTGGTGCTTCTATTATGGAGCAAGCGGTGTCCACGAGTGTATGGAATTCCGAAGGCTGCGAGCTTGTGTCCCGACGGGAGCTACTGCCAGACGCCGTCGCGTGCGGATGTCTAGTTAAATTCGGACACAATTCAATATATAGAAGTTTTTATCAATGTCAGATGACATTGCAACTACTTTGCAGAAACAAAAGTAAAGTATTAAGGCTGCATTGACTAATTGAGTAATGAGAGTAAAGATAAATTTACTTACCTATGGTGCTTCTTCCTCTGAATCTGTCGCGCCTCATTAGAATCCGAATCGGATAGATATTCGCCGTCGGTGTCGATGTCCATTTTTGTAACATTTTCCTTAGCACAGGACAAATCCTAAAATTGAATCGGGTGTATTTTAATATGACATTCGAATGCAATGCGCGAACTCTTTGCAAGATGCACGCGACAGACGTACCCATATTAAAGACGTGACACACAACAATAAGCACACCGCGCACCAAATATTTCACAATCGATGGTCAGTTTCGCCTGTGAAAGGGATCTTTACGTACCTGTGGCTCGTCACGGGTCATGGTGTGAGGGTGGGTGGGCGGCGCCGATGCGGGGCGGGCGGGGGGAGAGACCAGCCGCGGTCTGTGCCGCGGGAGGAAAGGCCAAGCCGTCGGGGCACCACTTTAAAGAGGCAGAAAACTTTAAGCTTTTATCATAAGTTGTTTCCATTTCTATTACGAACGATTCTTGACTTTCGTAAGACGGCAAAGGTGCCGCGTCAGTTAAATGAAAATCGAATAGGAATTAGGAACAATGGGAGTTTAAATAAACTGCCATTGTTCCTAATTTCTGTCTTGGTGGAGATAATAAGAGTAATGTGATATTCAAATACCTGTATACTTATTCTCAATAATATTTCACATAAGCTGAAAGGTGGACATGCAATTGTTTTGTTTTAATAACTAATTTCATATTACTAAATTATTTATAGAACACTACGTCAAGTTGAGTTGGTGGATAGGCAGTGAGTTTGTTTACGACCTTCATAAATAATGTATTTGGCCTTAATAATGTATCATCATGCCATGCATCATGACTTTCCTATCTAAGGAAACTTTTTTTTTGGACGATTACTCCTTATGTCTTCCAACATACTCCCTGTATTGTACAAAACACAGGTTATTAGGGCCACGAAAAAATTTTGGCGCATTTCTCAGGCTATTACTTTACTTTTCTATCATGTATGCAGCATGTACAATGATGAATACCTTCTAGCGGGTTGTTGGCGCCGGGTGGAGTGTCGCCGGTGGGCGGAACGGTGACGGGCTGCCGCGGCATCCCGAACAGCTCCTCGCGGCGCGCGTTCGGCTGCAGCAGCTGCGGCTGGTCCGCGAGCGGCAACGCGTCTTGCATAGTCACTGTACAAATTAGACATGCCCTTATTAGCTTTGTTTTCGGTACTGGGTATTGGCGATGCTTCATGGGTTATGGATGTCTCATGACAATAGAAATGTTACACGTTAAATATGGAAACAGTAGACTTTGTAACCTACATCATCTTTCATCATGATAAAATTTAGTATATACAATTGATGTACAAATAAATTTATATGAACAACAAACCATATAGCTGTTTCTTTCGATTTATGTAAGCAATTACACTGACTGTTGAAGGGGTCGGGCGGCGGGCAGCCCAAGCAGAGAGTGGAGTCTGAGCGCTGGAAGAAAGCGTGCGTGCGCCCACGTGTGCTTTCGCCCTCGCCATCGGACTCATTAGTCCCCCCTCCGACCACCATCTCCTCATCGCCTTCCTCGTTCTCATTCTCGTCCTGTTTATGTAAGAACAATAAACATTAGTAGACTATCGTTAATACCTAACAATAAGAATAAAAATGCCAACAGACTTCCAAAACAAATAATATTTTAGTGTTAAGAATAAAATTATTATATCAATCATTTTGTAGTTTTTTTAACAGTATCACTTTTACATATATTATATTCTATGAAAAAGAAAAGCTCCAATCAATTGCCATTAATCGAAAATTATTATTTTAATATATATAAATAAGAATTAATTCCCGCAACGGCGAAAACTTTTCATACATTTATTCTAAAATTTTTATATTTCATATTCTATTCAGAAAATAGCACAAAAAAATTAATTAAAAATACTAGCGCTGAGATCGAACGCTAGAATAGTCATTGTAAAAAAATATTTGAAACATTCTGACTGATATGATACTATTACTGATACTGATACTATTATGATGAATAGATGCACCAAACATTGTCTTTGTCTTGTCAAACTTTTCGATAATTTTTCTGCTAATTTGAATTAAATAATACAGTGCTTTCTAAATAGAGCATCATAGAGTCATCCGTTTAGGAAATTATTTTATTACCTCTAAAAATATAGATGGAACTTCATTAAAATATTGGTATGACATACAGGAAAGTTATGGCATAGGACTATGACATAGAGCACTAGCTGATGCCCGGCGATTTGCCCGCTTTTAACCATTCCACCATATACCATTTTGCTATACCTCAAAGGGTTTAGGCAGAGTTTTCGCTGAAAGCTCCCAGATGGCCTATTTTTTTCCAACACCCACCAAATATCGTAGATATACATTTTAGCCAATGTATGCAAAAACTTGACAAATTATATATACTAAAACCTTCCTCGAGAACGACTCTATACATTGTTGAAAACAGCATGAAAATCGGTGCAGTAGTTTTTGAGTTTATCGCGAACAGACAGAAAGACGCGGGGGAGGATTTTATTTTTTAAAAATATGTAGTGATAGTGATGAGCGAATATTGTTACCGGAGTCCAGAGATGCGGGTGGTGGTGCGGCTGCGGCTGGGCGGCGCGCATGTAGTAGACGAGCGCGTCCAGTACGTAGGCGACGTGCTTGAGCGCGGCCACGTCCAACACGGGCAGCTGTTCGGCGTGCTCGGCGCTGTGGGCGCGCAGCAGCGACAGGCAGTACGCGAGGAACTCGCGTCGCGCGCTGCCGGCCTCCACGCCTGTTTGCACCAAGTATAAATCGAATCAATGTATTAAATGCACGCGTGTGAAATGTGCCTAACATACTTATGATGACAATGATGAGCTGTTTGATAATGTTAACCCAACCAAGCCGTGACCATTCATTTACAGCTTCACATCTGTGAATGATTCATATTCAATACCATTATATCACTCCAATGTTAGTTTTTGTTTGAGTGTAGTTAACTAACAATTTCAACATAATTGAAGTTTTGAATTTTTTAAGCTTGTTTATTTATTAAAACTTTTTAAGAATTAGATCACTTATTCATGATTACTTATTATGCATATAAACAGATTATAATTTGTTTATATTTTACAAATAACGCTATTTCATTCTTTTCATGTCATTTTGTATTATAATTTTAAATATATATACACATAAATAGTTAATTTAATTACCTTGTTCACGATCACGAGCTCTCGGCCCTTCGGAGAAACCAATAATCCGAGTGGCGGGCGATGTGAAGGATGTAGTGCGCCGAGTTGTCGTTGCATTCGTCCGGCTTTGATCGACGTTTGCATTGCCCAAGTTGTTTGATGTTAAGGATGCGCCAAATCTACATAAATAAAAGAGAAAATAAATCATTCCAACATTCCTCGTGTAGTATATATAAAATTGTCTCAGAAATATAGCATTCACTCGCTTTTTTTTGTAAATTATAAATTTACCTCAGTTGTGCTTCTGTGGCGTCCATGACAGTGACTAGCCAGTCCCATGTTGGCTTCAATTGACGTTCAAGATAGCATTGCAAGCGAAGAGCCTCACGATAAGCTAACGGCACTAATCGTGGCAAGGGTAGAGTTATACGTTCGTACTCCCAAAGTAGATCCGCGATTTGACGGATGACGATACCTTAAAATGTTAATTTACATTTTTACTTAATTTGCATTATAATCTTAATAAAAACTAACACAAATCTTTGTGGAAAAAATTTTAAGACTAATATTTGTTAATACCAGCAGCTCTTTAATGACATCTGATCACAGTGGTTTTAGAGGGTGAAAACTCCACAAAATATTGTCTTATAGAAGCGACAAGATATGTTTTGAAAATTTTCTTTAGATCCCAAAGAGAATTATTAAAAGGCAAAATATATCTTTATTATTCATGTTCTTTTAAATCAATAACAGCGACGTTTAATACTGTTTATCTGTGTCGAAAATATTATCTATCACACATACCGAAAGCGCGGGCCAGAAAAGAGGCGGTAGTTGAGGTCGAGTGCGGGTCGTGCGCTACCGCTGCGGCGGCGGCAGCCGACCGGCGCAGGGACGCCGGGTCGATGAACACCAGCGAAGAGCCGCCAGTCAGGCGCACGCCGCCGGTGCTGCTAGTTGTGCCGCGGGCGGTCTCTCGGGAACTGCGTTTGCAATTCATTTATCGTAATAGTTTATCTTTTTAATCAATACTTTTTTTTACTTTAGATGACACATTGTGATATTTCTTAAAGTGAAAAGTAAAGAGACGACCCTAAAAGAATGATGCTCGTACAGTAAGACATTCTGTTACAGTGGCTAACACTTCACTAATCTATACCTCAACCAGAACAGAGCATATTCCTACTGTATAACATGGCCTCAGAAATTTGTCATTAAACAAAATCATTACATTATAAATGAAACTAATTTTACGGATTTATCGCGTTTATTTTTAATTTTAATTCCCGACGTTTCGAACCCTTTACAGCGTTCATGGTCACGGGACAGACTGAGGTGTTAGACGTCTGATTGTCATAGTTAACCCGGGCTACCGTCAGTTTTTGAATTATTAATTTTGTGTCCGATCTATGCAGAGGGAGCTAATTGTATCTTGTCTTGCAGTAGTGGTTCGTTTGGGCCTAGATTTAATTTTATTGATGACAGGATCCCAAGCTGTTTTTTAATTTCAATAGCCTCGCGAATCATCCTTGGGAGGAATCGGTGTTCTTTTGCAAGGATCTGTGGTTTGTCAAACCTGATGTAGTGGTTGGGTCTATTCAAAATGTGCTCACAAACTGCAGACTTGTTTAATCTATTGTGTTTGATGTCAGCTATATGTTCTTTCACGCGGGTTTTTATTGCTCTTTTCGTTTGACCTATGTAAGAGAGCCCACATTCACAGTCAAGTTTGTACACTCCTGGATCTTGCAGAGGGATATTACACTTGACAGATGGTAAAAACTGACTAATCTTCTTCAGCGGCTTGTAGAATGTATTAATTGAAGCCTGCTTTAAGATATAGCCAATCTTGTCGGTGACTCCTCTGACGTATGGTAGAACAGCAGGTACTCGCTCCACTGTGGCTGATTTCACTCGGTCACTGTGACGTAGGCGCGGTGCTCGAAGCTTGTTGTCATGCAGAACTTGCTTGACATGTTGAAGCTCAGCGGCCAGGTGTTGTTTGTCACAGATCCCTTGTGCTCTCTGAAACAAAGATTTACCCACGGTAGCTAACTGGGATGGATGGTGGTGAGAATCACCGTTTAGGTATCTATTTGTATGGGTTGCCTTCCTATACACAGTGTGACTTACAGTGTTATTTGGATTGCGGATGACCAAAACATCTAAGAAAGCTAAAGAGTTATTATGCTCTAATTCCATAGTGAATTGTATTTTGGAATTTACTGAGTTAAGGTGGTTTAGAAATGCATTAACTTTACTTGTTGGTAAAATGGTGAAGGTGTCATCTACATACCTCTTGTAAAACCTTGGATAAATGGGAGCTGTGCGAAGGGCCTTCTCCTCAAAGTCTTCCATAAATATGTCAGCGACAATGGGAGATACTGGGCAGCCCATTGCTACACCATCTATCTGTATGTAAAATTCCTCCTTCCAAAGCAAGTAGCCGGATGTTAGGCAATGTTTAAGTAGTAATGCATACTCTTCCGGCATGTTATTCTCTTTTAGCTTTCTTGTTACAATTGAGATGCAGTCTTCTAATGGTAGGCATGTAAATAAAGACTGTATATCAAAACTGACCATTGTTTCATTGTCAGCAAGACATAGTTGTTTTATCTCACTAACAAAATGGTAAGAATCCTTTGTGTATGCCCTTGTGTGTCCTCTCAGTGGTGAGAGAATTCGTACTAGATGTTGAGCCAGTCTGTAAGTTGGTGAGTCGATCTGGCTTACAATAGGGCGTAATGGTATGTCTGGTTTGTGTATTTTAGGCAACCCATACAATTTTGGGGGTTTAGCACATGAAGGTGTCATCGATTTCACGTCTAGATTTAATTTTTCGGAGTATTTTTTAATGAGATCGCTAGTTAATTTAAGCGTTTTAGTAAAGTAGTAGTTCATAACCACCGTAGCATTTCCTTTATCTGCGCGGAGAACAGTTAAATCTTTGTTGTTGTCAACAAAAAAAAACGTCGGATTATAATTTGAAAATACAAGAACTGTTGTCGGATGTAAGCACGTATAAAAAGGTCAAAACAGACCCAACCACTAAAACGCTTAAATTAACTAGCGATCTCATTAAAAAATACTCCGAAAAATTAAATCTAGACGTGAAATCGATGACACCTTCATGTGCTAAACCCCCCAAAATTGTATGGGTTGCCTAAAATACACAAACCAGACATACCATTACGCCCTATTGTAAGCCAGATCGACTCACCAACTTACAGACTGGCTCAACATCTAGTACGAATTCTCTCACCACTGAGAGGACACACAAGGGCATACACAAAGGATTCTTACCATTTTGTTAGTGAGATAAAACAACTATGTCTTGCTGACAATGAAACAATGGTCAGTTTTGATGTACAGTCTTTATTTACATGCCTACCATTAGAAGACTGCATCTCAATTGTAACAAGAAAGCTAAAAGAGAATAACATGCCGGAAGAGTATGCATTACTACTTAAACATTGCCTAACATCCGGCTACTTGCTTTGGAAGGAGGAATTTTACATACAGATAGATGGTGTAGCAATGGGCTGCCCAGTATCTCCCATTGTCGCTGACATATTTATGGAAGACTTTGAGGAGAAGGCCCTTCGCACAGCTCCCATTTATCCAAGGTTTTACAAGAGGTATGTAGATGACACCTTCACCATTTTACCAACAAGTAAAGTTAATGCATTTCTAAACCACCTTAACTCAGTAAATTCCAAAATACAATTCACTATGGAATTAGAGCATAATAACTCTTTAGCTTTCTTAGATGTTTTGGTCATCCGCAATCCAAATAACACTGTAAGTCACACTGTGTATAGGAAGGCAACCCATACAAATAGATACCTAAACGGTGATTCTCACCACCATCCATCCCAGTTAGCTACCGTGGGTAAATCTTTGTTTCAGAGAGCACAAGGGATCTGTGACAAACAACACCTGGCCGCTGAGCTTCAACATGTCAAGCAAGTTCTGCATGACAACAAGCTTCGAGCACCGCGCCTACGTCACAGTGACCGAGTGAAACCAGCCACAGTGGAGCGAGTACCTGCTGTTCTACCATACGTCAGAGGAGTCACCGACAAGATTGGCTATATCTTAAAGCAGGCTTCAATTAATACATTCTACAAGCCGCTGAAGAAGATTAGTCAGTTTTTACCATCTGTCAAGTGTAATATCCCTCTGCAAGATCCATGAGTGTACAAACTTGACTGTGAATATGGGCTCTCTTACATAGGTCAAACGAAAAGAGCAATAAAAACCCGCGTGAAAGAACATATAGCTGACATCAAACACAATAGATTAAACAAGTCTGCAGTTTGTGAGCACATTTTGAATAGACCCAACCACTACATCAGGTTTGACAAACCACAGATCCTTGCAAAAGAACACCGATTCCTCCCAAGGATGATTCGCGAGGCTATTGAAATTAAAAAAACACCCTAATTTCAATAGAGAAGAAGGTTGGGTACTACCATCAGCTTGGGATCCTGTCATCAATAAAATTAAATCTAGGCCCAAAACGAACCACTACTGCAAGACAAGATACAATTAGCTCCCTCTGCATAGATCGGACACAAAATTAATAATTCAAAAACTGACGGTAGCCCGGGTTAACTATGACAATCAGACGTCTAACACCTCAGTCTGTCCCGTGACCATGAACGCTGTAAAGGGTTCGAAACGTCGGGAATTAAAATTAAAAATAAACGCGATAAATCCGTAAAATTAGTTTCATTTATAATGTGTAATCGCGTAAATACAAGAAATTAAAATCATTACATTTTTACTTTCACATTTAACCTGGTGAGTTAGATAGCAATATGCCTACTCTTTTTTAAAACAACTGATATAATAGCGGACATCGGAAGGCAAGAGTGGTCGTTTGCAACCTTAATTAATAAACAAGACAGTAGAGGGCGCTTACCGTATGGCCCACTGCATAGAGTGGGGCGCGAGGTTCGGCCTGGCGGGCGGCGCGGCGCGTCTCTCGAGCGGCTCGCCGTCGTGCAGCGGCGGCTCCGCCTCGCCGTCCTGCTCGTCCGTCTCGCCGGCCTCCGAATCCTCGTCCTCCGGCTGCGTCGAGTCGCCGCTCTCGTCCTCTGGATACATTAGCAGCGATGCTATACCTGTCGCGGCGTGCACTCGCTTTTAACATTTCCAAGGTCAGTACGGCGCGCACGAATTAAACTCCGTTGTCACGTCCGCGCCGCCTGTATCCTTGCTACGAACACCCTTCTATACCCTTACTTACCTCTAAGCGCGCACAGTTGCCAGTTCACGGGTATACAAGGGTTATGAATTATCTATCCGTCTTATATCTATCCCGCCTTAGCGAGCTATTTGTTGAATCGAAAAACTTAAATAATTAAATTAACAAATAATTGCACATTGCTTTGACAATGTACAAACCACGTACCGGCGTCGGAACCTTGAGTTGCGCCCGTCTGCACGCTACGTTGAGCTGACTCGGCATTGTCCTGATCGTCAGAGTCACTTTCTGTCTCCACTTCGGCCAGTAAATCAAGTTCACTCTCGCTTTCACCACCCTCGGCACGTTCGGTTCCGTTTTCGACCACTACATGTTGTTCTTGTCCCCTAAGGTAAGAGCTTTGAAGTTATCCATTTATCACGTCATGTTTTGCTTTGCTGCTTTTGCTGGTTTTTCAGATTAACTGATGTAAATGAAAAAATGGAAGGTAGGTAATGCTGACTACACATTAGTTTAATTTATAATATCTAAAATAAAATTTTAAATAAATTGTCTTCACCCACATGATATATAAATGATGGAATTATTGGATCCCAACACTTGAATTTAGTAATTACTATAAAATAAATAAATCATAATACGAATTGGCATATTGGTCCCCTAGCTGTGTTTTACGTAGTGATATAATAACGATTCTAGACAGTTGAAAACCACTAAATCAATTTTATGGTTTAGTGGCAGGGGTGGTCAGCACCAGCGCTTATTTGCTGGGGTTATCATATTTACAATAATAACCGTGAAATTAAAATTTTATCCTACTACTAATTGATCTAATTTGTGGTCCCCTTGTTTTGTTCTACATAAGAAGCTAAGTATTGAATTAAAATTCAAATTTAAATATCTTCATTCAATATAACCGACCATTACACTTACTTATTGTCAAATTCCACTACTATTGATTCGGAAAAGAAAAGCTACTGACTTCAGAAGAACAGATAAAAAAGAAACTCGGCAGGACATTTTGCTTACCATTATTTGTACAGTGAAAACATGTTTTCAATATATTAAAGTCCTATATAAGTCCACTTGTAAGAGTCTGGAGCGATCAACTATTTCCAGAGTGTGTTATAGTTTAAATAATCACTAACATTTAACACACATTTGTTGTAAAAACGTCTACATTGTCCCGTAAAATGATTACTATAGAATACCTTTCGCCCATAGCGTCGTCGTGCTGCGCGTCGGCGGCTGGCACCGGCGCCTGTATGTTCGGCTCGTCCGTCTCGGAGGCGTCGTCGTCGCCGCCGAGCGCCTCGCCGGCGACGTCGTCCGCGTACTCCGTGGCCACGGGCGTCGACGAGCGGTCCGGGGCCAGGGTCGAGCTGCCCATGGACGCGCCGACGGCGTTCGCGCCGCGACCACCGCCCGCGTTCGACTCTCTGTGCTCATTCAAATAATAGGTCTTTACTTGTAACATGGCCGTCTTCAGTGCTGGCCATTTCGAACAAAAAAAAGTTTTGATCGGCGGTGAATTCAAAATTCAAAATAAATTTAGTTTTCACAAAGCGACAGTTTTTACAATGTCAGTCTTTTGTTTATTGATTAGCTTTGTATTTTCATTAATTTTGAACATTTTTAGTCATAATGGATACTTTAAAAATTCGTGTTATCATGGAATATGAGTTCTCTCGTGGCACCAACGCGGCACAAACAGCACGTAAAATAAAAAACGTTTACGGAGAGTAACAACGTATACCCTCTGTATAGAGGAGGCTTTTGCCCAGCAGTGGGACATGTATAGGCTGTTACTTTACTTTTTTTTACTGAGAGAACTTTACAAACGAACACATAACCCGTTATTGGTCCTGCCTGGCACTGCTCAACAGAAATGAAGGATTTTTTTATTTCGTGACCTGATTCCTTTTTGAAAAAATGTTTACTTTAAATCACTGATGGAATACCTTCGTACAAAAGCTGACTTTTAGTTAAGAGATATGGATATTTATAGATCAAATGGGCAGTAAATAGACCATCTTCAATTATATAAATAAGCCAAAAATACGGAACATGCCTGCGGGAGTGGCCAAGTCGTGTATGTCCCGTCGAGAGTGGCTCGACGCCGAATAAATCTTCGCTGCCATTGACCAGATCGACGTATGTGGTGGCGAGTGGGAACGGCGCCGTCGGTCTAACCACGCCGAGACGTACTGGAGCTAGCAGGGCATCCGCTGCCTCCACAAGTTCTTCCACCGCGAGCGCCACCAGAGCGGCGAAGACACGGCGGCAGCGGACGAGTGAAGATGTTATCGACAGAGGTCTGCACGGAAAGCGAACATTTATTAATCCTGATGCTTACTTACATAATAATTTTATTAAATATATAATAAATATAACACTTCCAAAGGCCGGGGCCAAATTTGGCGTAAAAAGAACTGAACTAATGGTTTTCATTACATAATAAATAGTGAAAAGCGAGCAAATACTAATCCTTAAAATATACTAATCAAATTGAAAAAAAAAAAATCATTTAAATTAGATTATTTGTTATCCACCTGTCCATCGCAGGATTGTAGAGAGAAAAAATGTATGCTAATTTATGTTATACTTTTTTCTGCACACATACATACACAAGCAGACATACATAACCTAATCATCAATGACAGTTTTTAATTTTTTTTTTGTCTGAAACTACTCGGAGACGACAACTTTTTTAATTGAAAATTATAAATGAAATTTTTGTATTTGCTACATTTCTATATCGTGGTCAAAGTTATACACATAAATATTTAAGTTTTCATTTTAATTCAAATATGTATATTAGTTAGTACATTACAATACTAAACCTACCCCTTTTTCTTCGCTGCGCCTGGAGCCATTTCCACGCTGAAAATAACAAAAATCCTTGCTACGGAGCGCACGAATCGGCGCGCCACTTCGCGAGCACGCTCAATGCGCCCCGGTATAGAGTCGTTCTGTTGCTCTCTTATCAATGTATGCAACAGTGTATCAAGCATCTAAAAATAACGTCATGTATTATTATCACTAAATCCAGTAAAGTTTAAAAGCCTTTCATATAATGACATCTATTTAAAAGATGCGTCTTTAGTAATTTTATTTATTATATTAACAATATTAAAACCTTAAAATATGTAGAAAAAGTGCGAAAAGATTGTCGCCGCTGTGGGATTCGAAGTTGTTTGTATGCTGGAAAGGATATAACAATAGAAGGCGCCAAGCATTGCTTCAAATGCTAAGAAAACAATGTAGAAGAATGCGTTAAGATTTTCGTCGGTGTGGTAATCAGCCGTTTAGCTCAGTGGCTAGAGCGTCAGGCCGCGAATGCCGAAGACGTGGGTTCGATTCCCACAGCGGCGACAATCTTTTCGCACTTTTTCTACATATTTTAATGTTCAATCTTAAGTGCAAAGATTAGCACTATAAACAATTTAAATTTCTAATATTAAAACCTTCCAAAAAAAATGTGGTATAATAACGCATGCCTATCATACTTATTATAATGTCCATAATATTGTGGTAAGATTAAGATATTATATTGATTAAAAAGATTCATAATTACGAGCAACGCCATATTCATTCGCTTACCTCATTCGTGCACTTAACGATGAGCGCGTGTGTAAATTTGTCGAGCAACGTGGTGCCGGATTGGTTGAGAGAGGGACTGCCGGGGCGGGTGTCACCGTCGCCGGAATTCGCACCGCACATCACGGCAGCTTCCACCGCCGCCCAGTCACCTATATAAATCAAGTTATTGGTACACCATAAGGCAAAAAAGTGTGTAATTAATTAGAAGGAAGCCCTGTTATTGAGAATAGACCAGTGGTACTTTTTATTATGTGAGAAGTTGGCAAATAAAATAAAAAGAAGGAGCTGGCAGTTCACCAGATGTAGCAGATGCGTTGCCACCTTTTAATAAAGTGGGTCCCCGCTACATCACTCTCAGGTATGCAGAAGTATAACACTTCCCCTTCACGCCGGTCTTTTGTGAGGTTGTGGTTCTCAGGCACAGCATAAAACTATTAAATATAATAGAAGATCTCATTTGCATTTTTTTAAATAAAGTAAAACGTTGTCGGACCTACAACCGCAAGTAACATAACTGAGTATGAATTACAGTCCAGGTCTGTTTGGGGTGTCATACTACAGATTTTATTCAACTTGATTATGCAGCGTTCGTTAAGACACTGACTCCTTACATTGTTCACTGAGTACTATTATTGTAATTACACAACATCCTTGAGATCCGACTTTTATTCCAACCCCTGACGACATTGTAGCGCATGTACAAGTCAACTTCGACCGCTAGAACGATCCATCGAATTTTACAACATAGTGCTGTTGCATCACTCAGTGGCTTGGTGAAGCTATGGTGCATTAGACGGTAGTTGATTCGCCGTAGACGTGTAACGTACACCAAGTAATAGTCCTCTATTAGTCTATTTTAGTAAGTGGTTCTAGACAACTAAAGTATATACAGCACCCACTTCAACATATAACTGAGTATGTGGTGTATACTACATACCACCTACTTAGTTGTAGCAGCTTGGACTTGCAGCGCATCTGTGTTGTAGATCTCTTCTCTCTCTCTGGTCGACGGTATTTTTTTTGACATCATGTGAACCGCCAGCCCGCTTGGCAGCTATTCACATAAATAAAAACAAAGCGGAGCATACCGAGCAAGTGCAGGAGAGCGCGGCGGGCGAAGCGCGGTGGCTCAAGGTCGTGGTCCGGCGCGTCCACTTCGGCGTCGGAGCCGGGCTGCTTCCGCGGCCCGCGGCCCCGACCGCCGCCGGCGCGGAACTGCCTCTGCTCCACCGCCTGCCGGCCGACCGTCTGCACGAGGAACAGCAGGATCGACTCGCCCCTGTGCAGTACAAATTGGTCAGTCGCTACCGACACGAGCCGTCGCGTTCACTTTAAATAGTTCACCGTCGTAGTGGCGGAAAATGCCACAGGGCTCTAAAGTAGAAAGAACGTCGATGGAAACGAGAACAATAAGAATGACGTCTTTCAGGGGACTGTGTCGGGAAAAGCGACCAGCACTTTGTAGATAAGAAACACCAAAAGGGCATTGGTATGGTTGACAAATTCTTTCACCCTGAATTTGTGAGCCTTCATCAGCAGGTAATGTGCTCAAGTTACTTGATGGTAAAGCGTGAAGCCACTCGATTTTTTAAATTAAAATAATTAGAGATTTATATCATACCTTGAGTTGAAGTGCGTAGCGAGTTGGGTGTCTTTTGCAAGTCTCGCTAAAAGATCGCAACGGGCTGCCCAATTGCCTCCCACCAGGGCTTTGCATCTACATTTCTCCCAGCAGTCACAATACGCTGTGGGCGATGTGCGTTTCAACTTGCAGTCATGGCCTTTGTGGCAAACCTGTGTATGTAGAAATTATTAGGTTAGAGATATTTGATTGAATATAATTATAAACAAAGTATTTGAAAGTATTTTTTTTACCTTAGCACACTCAGTGCAGCAGCAAAGAGACCCTGTAAGCCCACAGGTTTTGCATTCAAATATATCCTGAAAATGAGTTGGTGGTTAGAATAAAGTTTCATGAAAGTTATTAATACTATTAGGAATTAAATTTATTTAACAACCTGATTAATATGCTCCTGTCCAGTCCAAGTGAAACTGCAGGTGTCATTGCAGCAGAGCACCAGAAGTGGTGAATGATCAGAATGTGCGTTTGGCGGGAAAATGGCTGCTGACCGTTGAGTTTCGTCTGCGTCTGGGCAAGAACGGATCGCGTCCAACAGGACGAGGGCAGCGCGATAGGCACGTTCTGCGACCGCTGCCATCAATGGAGTTTGGCCCATTCCATCCCTAGTAAAAGAAAATATTTTCTAGACAATGCCATAAGACATGGTTGAACAAATACACCTGTTTATTATGGTGACATCATAGTTAAATAAAATTTACGACTATTCATCAATTTTATACAACATTGTAATATATTAGAGGGTAGAATCCCACGGCTTGCACTGCGTGCATCGACGGGCGGCCCCCGTCAGTTTAACAATAAACGCTATACTGTCAACTTGTGTATCAATTATACCTCAGTGGCGACGAGGATGGGAAACTTTAAATTGCAAACAAAGAACGATATAATAACTCAACTTACTTAGCGACGAGTAATTGAATGAGATAAGGCTGTAGGACAGAGCTTTCGCACAATGCTCGTAAAGCGGCGAGAGCATTCCCACGTCGCTCGGCGGGATCAGCACTCACGACGCCAGAGCCGTTGGCACCTCCACTTGAAATTTTACTGGGCAAATAATTTAAATATTCAAGCCGGTAAAAGCTGTCAAGTTAACAAATTCAATAGTTACATATATTTCGCGTTGCATTTCACAGCTTCTAAATTATTGACGCAAATGACACCTGATCTCCAAATAAATGCTTTAATACATATTTTTATCCCCAATGAGTATTGAACCTATAAAACACAAAATTTTATAATAAAAAGAAAATATTAGGCAAATATTTTCTTTTTATTATTGGCTGTAAGAATTTAGTAATTGTAAATAAACGAGGATTACGCACTAACCTGTTATTGGTAAGTCCCATCAAACTATCTTCATCACCAGATGCTTCGAAAGTTTCCGGGGGCCAAGATATAGCTGGCACGGCCTCTTCGGCATTCGCTCCACTCGAACTTGTACCACTGGGTACATTCGGCATTGAAGAATTTTCTACTATAACAAAATAAAATACTTTAGGAAATGGAAACAAATATATAACTATACCTTAAAATTTGCTATTGTTTGAGCTGTTCTAGTTAATTTACATAACATGGTTAGACATTTAAATTTTTATATTGCGAATATACTTATTAAACATTAAAATTTGCAGTACTTGTTAATATTCAAAATGCTCACCTATATCAGGTTCTTTGTTGGAAGTAGGTGCACACATGTGTACACAAGCATGAAGTATGTTTCTATTGCCATCACAGCGCTCTTGAAGGATGGAAAGTATCTGTTGTTCTGTAAACATTAAGTAAAACTATATATTCAGCCTTAATATGTAAGGAATAATAGTTTTGTGTAATTTCTATTACTATTAATTTTTATAGCACATGGCAAATAATTAATAATGAATTTTAAGGAAGAAAATCCAAAACTCACTGTTGTTGTCAGATTCAAGTAAATGCAGCAGCTGACGTACTCCATCAAGATCACAGCGAAGCACTCTGGGCATCATTAGCTGTGGTTCTGGCACTATTATGATAAGCGCCACCTGCGTTAGTTATTACTTTTATGAGTGGTAAATAGGTGATTCAATTAAACATTTTATTCATTATTAGATTTATGATGTATCTTTATCATCGGAGCGAGTCCGACATAAACCGTCCTTGCATACGGGAGGGCGGGTATGCGTACGCATTTACTCCACGTTACCAAAAAAAAATTGTCAACGCATCTGAGACCCCACTTGGCGTTGTTGATGTCTATAGACGGCCGTCACGACTCAATATTAGGTCAGAGGCATGTCAGCTGGCCTCATTCACACGTGAACCCCTATAGCCCCGTTCACCTCCCGTGAACGGGGCTATAGGGGCGACGCTAACCTGCGACTTGAGCGCGGCGTGGTGCGAGTGAGCAGAGCCGTGCGGCTGCAGCGGCAGGGCGTGCGCGGCGAGTGCACGCGCCGGCGGCAGATTCAGCGGCGGCGGTTCGCGCACCATGCCGACGCAGTCGCGTGCGATCGGGTACAGCGCGCCGTTGCCGTCCGCCATCATGACCACCGCCTCGCTGCCCTGTTGGTTATAAGTATGTCCCATATTATATTTAGTGAGCAATTCAAAACATCAACTGTGTACATGTAAGATTTGAATTAACTTGCGGTACAAATGATAAGAGAATATTTAATTTTCATACATTTTCGAATAGTATGCCCTGGATAATTATTTTTATAGTGTGTATCGACTAACATTAATATAATGAGATATATGTTTAACTCTTAATCTATATTTACCTATATTATTGATAATTATTATAACAATTAACATTTCAACAATCTACATTGATCTTTGGAGCATTTTAAAGTTAAATACATGTAGGATTGAAGTTCATTAAACCATTTATTTGCTATATAAAATTCGATTTCATAACACTAACCTCAGCTGCAGTAGCGAGTTGAATTCCAAGCCCATTGGTGTGACCAAGTAAAGCGGTGTGGTCAGTTGGAAAAGTGCTATCTGTGAGAGCTCGAGTTGCGCCCACTGCGTACACAGCATAAGCTAGCGCACCGCCAGGGCGGCGGACGACAGCATGGACACCGCGACTGTCCACCTATAATAAGTACAATGATTATAAGCTGTGCAAAACATGAATGTCCTATATTGCCTCATATATCCTCCATATTTGATTTTTTTTTTCTATTTGCATTTGCGACTATATACTAATGTGTGTATAGATTGAAAGCGAAGTAAAAAGCGATTCAGAACGTGAAGAGGACAAAAGGGCAATAACATCCCCAATCATAGAGGTTACATTACTTTACTCAAGAGAACCTTGTAAGTCGCCTTAAAGTTTATGATCATGTATCGTTGGTCAAAGCAGAAATTTGAAATAAAAACACTTACAGCAATGGTAATAACTTGCAACTCTGGTGGCAAAGCGACTTTTCTGGGCGAGCGTTGCAGGCAATCTGGGCCGCGGGAGCCCGAACCACTTCCGGCGCCCCACTTGACCGCCACCAAGTCATCTTTGCGCACTAAGCGACAGTCTTGAAGTAAAGCTGTCCAATCATCTGGTGCCGTAGGTGTGACTTCCTTTCCATCCTTGCCCACAGTCGGAAAACGCACTGCGGCATAAGCTCCGTCAACTTTAAGCACGCGGCCCAGTGGCACGCTTTTAACGTCCTCGAGAAAGACCACTTCTTTCAGCGGCCACTCTTCTTCGTCACGTTTAGAACCATCATTGGATGAGCCTTCTTCGCCACGGACAGTAACCCGTTTGGCACGTTCTGAAACAATTACAAAATTGATTGAATTGTCTCATCAATCAGAAGTCAGTTATAAAAGTTGTCCCCTAATTGTCCATTTATCTTATTGATTTAAAAGAGTATTTTATGGAGATAAATTGGTATAAGAGAAATTCAATACAGTATTCATATCAATGCAGTCAAAAAATAGGAAGAACAAAAATTGGGGCAACAGAATTACTATTACTATCTAAAATATGGGTGTTTAAACTTACTGTGTGAAGTACTTGTGTCACTGCAAGTAGATGAAGCAGGGCTCGGTGGTGGTGGCATATCCAGGCGATCTGCCATATCCTTGTTACTATCTTTACTACTGTCCTTTCCACTTCCACCAGAAGAAGATGCCTTTACAGATGAAACAGTCAGTGGAGATTGATTCTATAAAAACAAAACCAAATACTAATGTCTCACAAATTATGATTAACAAATTATATAATTACTTAAGTTTTATAAATACATTATCTTTCATACTAAACAATGTAGCAGTTGAAATATATAAATACCTGAATGTCTCTCTTATCCTTGTCAGAGACTGAACGATCAAGCTGAGGTGGCGGCAGAAGTTTAAAACGGCACATGTCCGATAGATTCCAAGCAGCATTTTGTAGCACGCCAACTTTCGGTACTCCAGATGACATATTAAAACCTGAAAAGAAGACATTGAAACAACGATATTTTACTCAGTATCAAAATAAACCGTTAAAAAAATTAAAAAACTCAACTGAATTGTAATTATAATGTAAGGCTACACACCAATTGCTCCTGGCTGGTACATGGGTGCATTTTTCATTGTAACGCTTTGGCCGGCTTGCAGATCTTGTGGAGCCGTGGATGAATGCCCGCGCTGTTGTTTACGGGAACGTGCACGGTGCTTCTCCCACAATCTGGCGCGCTGGCCGAGAGGTAGCACACCCCTGAGAAATATTATCGATTAACTTGTGATGATTCATATTCACGCAACTATTGATGCGCAAGGTATTTGATTTAACTATGTGTTTTTCTATTTGTATCTGAACTGTCTTTAACAAAAAACATTAATACTAAGCAAAATTAAAACAATTTTAAAGATTTATGTGTCGGAATATACAAAATGTAAGTAACGCACCACCAGTAGAGGGCTCCCGATTCAAGTCTTGCCACAGTATAGAGTGAACAAGAGTGCAATGAAATTGCCTTCTCATTTCCAAACTCGGAGAATGTCTGCAAAGGGTGCTCTAACCGCGGTGCACCGGGCGCATGAGCTAAAACAGAACATATTCAAGGTATCAAAAAGATTATAGATATCCGATGTACAATGTTACTAGCTGCTGCCCGCAACTACGTCTGCGTAGAGTTGGCTGCAGGCGTAACATAAAGACAGAAACATAGATATACATAAAAATATGTATATAAATTGTAGCCTGTGTTATTCCTATTGTAGGGATGTGAGGCTATATTATTGTAAAGTTTCATTAAAATCCATTCAGTAGTATTTGCGTGAAAGAGTAACAAACATCCGTCCATACATACAAAACTTCCGCCTTGTTATATTTAATCCGCTTTATTATTATTAAGGATAAGTAAGTCGCATTTCAAGTTCAAACAATGTATAAATTCAAATGCATTATTTCAATAGTGAACAAAATAAATGATTTTTTATGTCCATTTATTCAAGTTATTCACGCCTTGTACAGCCATTTTTATCCTGTAGCTGTCTTAAACAGTATACACCGGCAAAGTGCAAGTCGGACTCGCGCACGTAGGGTGCCGTACCATTATCTATACAATTAACTAATAGTTAAATATTTTTTAGTATTTGTTGTTATAGAGCCAACAGAAATACATCAACCTGTAAAGATTACAACTGTCTATCATGGTTCATCACACTGAATGAATTGTCCGCTCGACTGACATCACGCCAGGCCATTAACCACGTGGTATATACTATCGGGAACACTGCAAAGTTGTGTTATTTTCTGGACGGACAGACATACAGATAGCCATCGGAGTCTTCGTAATAGGGTCTCGTTTTACCCTTTGGGTACGGAACCCTAATAAAAATATTTCAAATAACTTATATAAACATTAAAAGCCTTAACACGTACCAATAGATTCATCAAGGAAAGTGGCAATTCTGCCAGTGTCAGTAAGAACGGAGACACGAATTCCCGCGGCGCTTATATTAATTATCCGCTCGCCTGACATCATCCCAAGCCAATTACCACGAGGATGATATATACTATTAGCGCCGGAACACTGAAAAGTTTTAAAATTTTTGTTATGTTCGTATTTGTTTATTTTTCCTTTATTGCAACACCTTAAATGAATGGAATTACAAAGGGGGGACTTAATGCCAAACGACATTCTCAACTAGTCAAACATAAAAACTTTTACGTCTTACATAAAACTTTTACGTATTTCTTAGTACGTAAAATAATTATATCAAAATTCAGTATAGTAATTTAAATGTATCTCTACAGATCTTCAATCTGTAAAAAACAGTTTAATTCTATTATTTATATTATTCGACTAATGAATGGACAGGCGGTTGACCTGTTCAGCGGTGGTAATTGCTCGCTTTAAAGAGTGTGTCTCAATAACGAGACGAATTTCAATAGCAAAAATACTTCGACTTTACGTCTGCCTAGTGTGAGGGCTCAGACTATCTCCGGGTGTTCTGCCCATCCACAGAACTGCAGAATCCGCTACATGGCTTTAATATAATAGGTTAGGGAAAAAGTTTCTTCGCCTTTTTTTTGATAATTCAAAACTTTTTATAAAGTTTAATTACATTTAACTAAAGTACGTAGATGTCATTTCGTTCGATAACTTTCTGCCATCTTGTAGGTAGGGACATGATCCCATTGCTGTAGAAATTCTTCGGCTTTTGATAAAAAAAACCGCGACAAGTGATTTTGGGAGTCCTCTCGTATGTTAACCTGACACTGCCTAAAGAATTCTGAAGAAACCAAAACAAGTGGAAATCTGAAGTTGCAAGGTCAGGACTATACGGCGGATGCACTAACACCTCCCAGCAAATCTCTCTTAATTTTTGCTGAGTGGCTAAAGATGTGTGAGGTCTAGCGTTGTCATGATGAAAGACCACACCCCTTCTGTTGATTAATTTTGGCCGCTTTCTCTCAACTTCTTGCTTTAATCTCATCAGTTGTTCGCAGTAGAGTTCAGGATCAATGGTCCTGCCTGGAGGTAACAGCTCATAATGAATAATGTCCTTCCAATCCCACTATACACACAGCATAACCTCGTTGCGAGATAACCTGGGTTTCGTCAGAGTTTGTGAAGCTTGACCAGCGTTTGACCACAATCTTTTTGCATGTTCTTGTCGTACGTGATCCACTTTTCATCACCAGTTATCAGGTTTTTCAAAAATGGTTCGGTTTCATTACGTCGTAATAAAGAATCACAAATTCACTTTCAGTGAGCTCATGAATCACCCAAATATCGAGCTTTTTTGTGTACCCAGCTTTTTTCAAATGCGCCAAAACTGTTTTGTGGTTAATTCCCAGTTCTTCTGCTATGTCATAACTACTGATATGCCGATCTTGCTCCACTTTTTCAAAAATGGCATCTATTTTATCCGTAACATGGCGCCCAGAGCGAGGTGCATCTTTGACATCAAAATTTCCGGATTGAAAAGACTTAAACGAAATTTGTGCTACTCTCACAGACACTGCACTAGGCCATAAATATCACAATTTTTTTTTTGCGACTTGCGTTTCATTTTTACCTCTTTTGTAGTAAACTTTTAAAATGTATTGAAATTCTTCATTAGAATCACTCATCTTGTTAAGATGAGTGATGAGTGATAAAAAAAACAAATGAAAATCACACATTTTCCTAATTTGAATTTGGAATTATCTCTTTTAAATTTTAAACTTTTTAATGATACCAAAACCAGCCAGATACAAATGGTATAGCCAAAAAATATATTATAAGTACATACATACTATTTGCGAAAAGATTTTTTCCCCAACCTAATAGTAAACTTAGTTAAATAACTGTGCAGTGTGAAGGATATACATAGTGAAACTTACATCATTACGTTGGTAAGGGTGAGAGTCAGCCCAACGCCATTGGTGCAATTGTCCGTGAGTTGAAATGGCTATCAGTTCACTGTATGTAGCGGCTATATGGGTGAAGCGAATGTTGCTATCCCAATACTCCAATTCTTCCGAGACCCACAGTGGAGACGCTGCCATTGCCGAATCTTTTTTCTTATTCTCAACTAGTTTGAAATATGTAAATAATGTTATCCAACAAACTGTTTAATCACTTAAACAATCATTCTTCCCAATGCAAAAAAAAATGTTAATCGCAAATTAGATAATTAGAACTTTCAAAGTCATCAAACATTTGATAGAAAAAAAAACCATTAAATGAGTATCAATAGTCATTTTTAATAGCTTTAACAGGGAGTGGGAGTGGGACGGGAGAAGAATAATCTAACGATTCCCACAAACCAAAGTAATAAAAATGGTCAATAAAGTTTAGTCTGTCAGAATCATAGGAAAATTCATAGTTGCTACAGGCTATAATAATGAAGTAATCATAGATAGATGACATTATTAAATGCAGTGTGCAGTAACAGTATTTATATTTTAACCAGAATCAAATGTATTTGAGTTAAACGTTAACACTCTACCTCCATCCTTGTCCCAAGATGTGTCGCGGAGAGCGGACTCGAGCCACCTGCGTGGCCCGAAGTACTGTCGCTCGCGCCATCTGCTGAACTCTGAGGGTCGCTCTTGAGTGGAGCTGCTGCTCTCTCGACTAGCCCCGGCGCGGCCGCCACTGCCACCACCGCCGCCGCCATTTCGACTGTACGCACGAACACACATCAAAACGATTGCCTCTCCCTATCCTTCAATCTATATGTCCAGATAAAATATTTATGTCGTCCAAATAGATAAATATTCACGTCTTTCAAATAGACAGTGACATGTAAAAAAAAATATTTTCGCTTTTTATGCATATATTGAGTCGTGCATCGTCTCAATTTCGAATCTGGACATATAAACGAAACGACTACTACACGACTACACGCGATCACAACAACGACATCGAGAGGAAACTGCGTAAGCTTGTCAGCGTGCTAGAGATTGGGGTTTGAGGGCTGTACACACTAAGGGTGATGTGGATGAGAGGCCAAGGAGCGTAGCATGACAGGTGTACCTTCTGATGGCCGCGTACCCGAAGATGTCCTCGGAGAACATGGCATCGGCGTCGATGATCACGGAGTGGTCCTGCTGGGTGGCATGGAAGCCACCGTCAAGCAGCGAAATGAGGTCCTCCGGCACGTAACCGTCGCCCCCCTCGCCGCCCTCCGGCTCCTCCCCTTCTTCGTCGTCGCGCGAAAGCAGGTTGTTCACCGCCAGGTTCACGTCCAAATTCGTGCGCTGAGTACGGGTAATAGTAAACGTTAAAGCTAGCGATCAAATACTTAAGAACACTTAAGGTATCGCACAGGTTTAAAATTATCGTACACCAAAAGCAAATATAAAATTAATTCAAATGTTTCTCTAACATTTACACGAAATAACTTATTATCATAAGACTGTTCAGGTCTTAATATTAACAAGGTATGCAGAGAATGCTTGTGATATCAACTTTCCAAAGCAGTAGCAACAGCAACAACTGTAGAAAGCAGTGTGACAGATGATTGGCCAGCTGCCACATACTGGACAAAAATTTTAGTACAACAACAATGATGACTTTTAATTTCTTATATAAACACACTTACCCTCATAAGATAAAACAATAGGTTCAATTTTTAACGGTCGCCATAATAGAAAATGAGCATTGCAAATGTATGCATTGTATTAAGGAAGTAGCCCAAGAATACAGATGTATAAGTGCGCACAGCTTTATAAAGAGAGCACCATTGATTAAGCCAAGGATCATTGATAAATGATCTGCCCTATCTTGTTGATCATAATCATGACATAGTATTGTTTGCTGATGATACTTCTTTATTTTTTAAAGTTAAGCGACATTCCTTAAATTATCACGATGTAAACAATACTCTGTCCACTATAGTGCATTGGTTTAGTGCAAACAATTTACTATTGAACAATAAAAAAACTAAATGTATAAAATTTTCAACTCCAAATGTGAAATATGTAAAAACTGATGTACTATTACATGCATGGGGAAGCACTTGACCCTGTTGACATGATTGTATTCCTTGGCATAACTATAGATGCGAAACTGCAGTGGGGCCCCCATATCAATAAGCTGGCATGTAGACTTAGTTCAGCAGCCTTTGCAGAAAAAAAAGACAGCTGACTGATGTAGATATGGCTTGTTTAGTAGATTTTAGTTATTTCCAAAGTAAAGACTTATTGCATTTTACTTTGGGGAAACCCCGCTGATATTTATACTATCTTTGTCCTCCAAAAGTTTCTATTCAAGTGGTTTATAACCTGGGCCCCAAAGAATCAATAATTAATATAATAATTATAATAAGAAATTTGATCAATGAGATTAAAGTATTGACTGTTGCTTCTCAGTACATACTTGAAAATGTTAATTTTCAAGACATGCGAATGTCCATGATATAAATACTAGGAACAAACATACATTAATTCTACAGGCAACTAGACTGCATAGAATAACTAATCCTTTATGGGACAATGTATACCTTTTTACAACAAAATCCCAGAAAAAACATTCACAATGTATAAATTTATAAATTCAAAAAAATTGTAAAGGAATGTTTGTGTGTTAAAGGCTATTATGTTTGTGATTATTTAAATGATAAGGCTATTACTTTAATGTTTGTGTTATTAAATAAACGTTTAAATGAGAACAAGTGCACGCCTGGAATCGAAGTGTCTTCGGCATTCGCGGCCTGACCTCTAGGCACTTTGAAGTTGCACTTTTGTTTTCTTAGCATTTGAAGCAATACATTTGTAAACATTTGTTATATGATAAACAATGGTATATAACAAAAAAATAAATTTCCAAATAACGTCCCAGCTTTTCTTTCCGAACCGGTGGTAGCGTTTTGACAATCAATAAGAGAGTGTAATGCTTCTATATTGAATAAAGGTCTTTGTTTTTGATTACCTGTAATTCCCTTATAATGAGGCTACGACTCTTTCCTTGAAGGACGACTTGCGCTTGTGTAACCAGATCCTCAGGCACAAATGGCGCCGGAACGGGCACGACGCGACCGGAACTCGAAGATGCGCCTATGATCACGCCAGGAGCGCGGCTGGTCGATCCTGAATCATTCAATTTGAAATTAGTTAAAGAGCAAAATTTATTTTAGTTAGCCAAAGTGGGTCCTGGAAATGAATATAAATAAGTACCTTGTGAGCTTGGCGCAGCGCGAATTGAATTCCTCATAATACGAGCTCTAGTGCGCGGCTGCTGCCTAGAACCGCAGCTGCTACCGCTGCCTCCTTGTTTACCCCCACTGGTTCCTCCACCGCCACTGCCCCCTCCCCCATTTCCGCCGTTCTTGCTGGCATCCGCCTTACTCAGGTCGAGCCTGTCGGGGATGATGGAGAAGGCGGCACGGCAAATTGAGCCATCATCAAGTAAACAAGCGATATGAGCTGGCCCAGCTGTAACGGCGCGCACGCCCCTCAGGGTGCTCAGTGCCGAAGATCCAGCACCTGTCCCATATCTATTCCAACGTTCAGAAACTTCTTTTAACCTGGAACAATTGAGAGTATTAAAATAAATATCGAATCTATACATGTATAACAAAAATGTAACTGAACGTTATCTGTACATGGAAGATATTTGAGAAATACTATTGAGAAATACAACCGATTTGGGTGTCACTTTCATTAATGCTTTGTAGTAAGCTTCACTTAACATTTAGTCTTCACTTAACATTTAGTATTAGTTTTATTTAAATCGATTCATAAATAAAAAAGTTCCATCAACTTAAAGAACCACATTGAAGATTTGCGCGATAAAATGCTATAGTATAATAGCTATAGTTGAGTTGGATGAAACTGTAGTTAAGGCGCTGTGTGCAATGAATTTTTAACAATTTGGGTGGTGAAATATGAGGAAGCGGAGGAGTGGTAACGCCGCTTAGCGGCGCGCAGCGCGCTAGTTTCGTCGACGCGCCGCTAGACCAAGTCATTCATTACCTAGTGTGTGTGTGTAGTGATGGGCCGTAGGATACTATTGATAGTAACATGGAAGGCTTTCGAAAATGTACACAGATGATCCCTATAATATCTTTTATAGACCATGATTGTATTTTACTTTTATATTATAATAGGAATAATAATAAACAAACAAATATAAAGTATGAGAAAAAAGCAATCAACAATTTTAGAAAATCTTCCTGTTTATTATTATTTTTTTTAATTAAATGGAAAAGGAATTGATTAAAAATACATCTTAAAGTCAAATAAATTAATAAAGGCAAATTACTTATAATTATTATTTTTTGTTTTTATGGTTTATATTGTGATTTTAAAGAAATGGCTCATAAAATTTTTGCAGAAATTACGAATACATCTTTTTTATTACATTTTTTTTATATATTAGGAATTTTAATTTATCCTTTAAATGTTCAAGACTTACTATGTTATGACTTTTTCAACTAAAATGAAATTTAAAACACTATCGATAAAATCCTTATTTGTATCGATAAACGACAGCAATTATAACTAGAATCGAAATTTTGTCACTCTGCACAGACCTCACGTAGGCTGTTGGTCCGAGCGTCATACACAACGGTAACCTATTGCTGTAGTCCCAAGTTCAAACCACTCATCGAGTGGTGTTGTATTTTTTATATTATTCTCACTTTTAATTTGTTAGCCAACTAATTATTTTGTTTTTATTTTATAAAATGGCTCAATTTGGGAAATAAACAAATTATAAAATAATTATTTTTCGTGTATAAGATAAATTTTCGTTTTAGGGTGAACCATTAAATAAATTAATAAAAAAATAGATGTCGTTAAAAAAATTTAATACTATCACCCAGTTTCCGAAAGCACAATCAATTTTAATTTACAATAAATCTCTTGTCAATCGTTGTTTAACATGATCTGAGTTGCTAGAACGTCTGAAAACAACATTGATTTTGATTTGCAATTACTCACTGATTAACGGACAATCAATCGAGTTTCTCAAAGCGTTCTTCAGTGGTCAACGAGCTGTCAAAAGTTTTATTAAGTAATCTGTTAATTTGGACGATCAATCGTTGGTTAAAAATGTATTTTATCAAAAATCTTAATTTTTATTAAAAATCAACATAATTCCCTAATACGTTGTAAGGACATTCATGTGTTCTATTACCTATTTATTATTTAATATTATGCGAACATATCATGCGATTAGAAACAATACAAAATGCAATTCAAAAGTTAATAAATAATATGGATTCTTTCTTTTTATAATACTTACTTGTTTATTATGGATAAAAAAAGAAGTATAATATAACTGTAAAGTTTTTTCTTGACATTCTGCATGTATTTATATAAATTAAATTTTATTATAGCTCGGATTTTTACGTTGGCAATCACACGGTGACAGGACTGGATAGTGACGTTAATTTAAGTTTTGTTTAAAAAGGGACAGCTATACAATAGAAAGAGTTAGTTGAAATAAATCATTCATTTCATTCATTATCATTGGTTATACAGTGATTAGCAAATTTTTCTTGAACAAACCTTCCAGAAACCCAAGGCAGTTTAACAAGCGATTAACAGCTGATCATTTTTGACATAGTGTTATGTGATTGCTGCTTTGATTGGCCTTTCGGAAACTGGGCATAGTTGGTTTATTTACTGATAGAGTGTTCTCCAACTGTTTCAACTTTGAACAAATACAATAATATTTCGTTAGAATTCCTGTACTTCCAAATAAAAAAAATCAACAATAAGTACAACAAAAACTTTTGGGATTTGAACCCAATCCATAAAGAATTATGGTCCTATACTGTATGTAAAGGACTGATAGACCAATCAATCACGAGATAAGAGATTGAAATTATGGTTTAAATAAATTAATTAACAACTGTTAATACATACAAATAATTTATAAATACGAAATATGTGAATATATATTTTTTAGTTTCGTGTTTTCGAAGGTGTAATAAAATTAAAACTCTCAATAATAAATAAATACGAAACATATTTCGTAACGGTGAGTTGGCGATGAGCGGCATAGGTCAATCTAGCAAGGCGCCTCTACGCTCTCTGTTCAACGTGTGGAATTGGAAGAGAGCCGAAACAACGCCGCGGTGGCGCGGTGTTTTGGCCATCGCGTTCGAATTAATTTTAATGAATTAAATTAATATTTACAAATATCTTACTTCAATCAACAACTTAAGACAACAGTCCTTTTTATTAATATATTCTACACCACTGATATTAATTTCATTAAGATTTGTTAATTTATTATGTCTATTTTTTTATTTGAATTTCACGTTTAGAGGTAGGTTCGTGATTTTTTTCTATCGAGATAATATAGCGAGAATATGTTTTGAAAACAATAGTCCATTAGAATGGAAGATCATCATATATTAACATATATTTTTTTTTGCTTCTATAAAATGTATAGATTTTGTTAAGAAATCTTTCGAAAAACCTATTTTTACTGCATACAGCGCCTTAACTGTATAATATTATAGTGTCTTTCTTTCTTTCTCATTCTAATATTATGGTTGTTTTTACTGTTACAAGGACCTTAAACCCAATTTCCATAGGTTTGATTTTTTAATATGAAATTTGCCAGGAACCAGCGAAAGCGGTGGGCCGATATATACCTGAACCGCACTTAAAGTATTTTTAGTAGTAATGGGACGGACAAAAAAAGAGGACATCTATTCAAATATTATGAAAATGAAGAATTTGAAAAATTCTTGCACTATTGAGGAAGGCTACTTTTAATGGGGCTAAAAGCTAGTTTCAAATAAATACAGTTTTTTAAATAAATACATTTTGATTTTATTCACAACGCCATCCTTCACTCAGAACTACATTTGGGTAAATCACTTATTAAAAGGGTCCATCCCTGTACCATATACATTCTACCTAAAGTGAAAATTAATTTATTGTACAGTTGAGAGGCTAAGAGGACAAACGTGGCTGACTTTAATTTGTGAAAATCCGGCATTACGCCTGTTAACAGATAATAAGTCGATTAATAATCATAAAATACGTCAATAATTGTAATTCGCTACATGGTTACACAGGCTAACAAAGGTGTTAACTCCCAATCATGTATACAGCGTGTCTTTTCAATCGCGATAATAAATGAACACACGTCTAACGCTTCTTGCCAATAATCATAAAAAATATTAACGTTAAAAAAAATCACATAATTAAAAAAAAAATTCACACAAACTAATTAAGTAAAAAATAAACCAAATTTGTAACACCTATATAACTACAACAAAGTTGTAGTTCAGAGAATTTTTCATTCGTTGGCACAGCGTCGCATTGCAAGCCTCTATTTCTAACTTTGTTTTGTCTCTTTCAAATTCATTCTACCCATTCATATCCTCTGTGACCTTTACAAATTAACTTTTCGTTATAGTTTTATACGTAAGGGTGTTCTAAAATTCTTTGTTTTGGAAAACTATAAACTCAGTAAATATTTAGGTTTAAAGAATGTAAATGTTTAATACAATTTAATATGTGTGTTCATTTATTGTCGCGATTGTAAAGACACTCTGTATGTTTCAGATGTGCACAGAAATATGTTTGGAGAATCTAATGATTCTATCTCAAAAGTATCAATGGTAATCCATTGATACTTTTAAGATAATATAAGGCGATTAGTTATTAACAATCAATAAATCTTCTGTTTTTTCGCAAGGATTACATGATTCAATGTTAAAAAAATAAACAAAAGTGTTATAAGTTATAGATTACATTTGCTAAGCGAAAAATTAGTGATATAAATCACACAACTTGAGTATATTGAGCAGAAGTCTCAGTGATTCTACATAAATATTTTAAACTGTCAATAATTAATAAATAGTATTTAAGTACACGTCATGCTTTTTTTTTACAATAAAACATATAAATAATGCTATTTTTTTTATTTAAAATTGATATGGTTTATAGTAAACAAAGGTACTATTTCTGTATTTGCTTTGTTTTTTTTTATAAATTTGCATGAAATAATCTATTTTTAATACAAAAACAACTTATTTAAGTACTAGCTGATATGGGTGTAGTGTTATCCGGCGGGACCCCCGGCGATGGGTTCGACGTATCTAAGTCCCCTTCCTCGACCAGGTCGAAGAGGACGTTTCGCGGGCGACGTTTGTTGACGTTCACGTTTGTGTCGAGTTGGTAGTTTGCTGCGCTTACCACCGGAGGGTTGGGATGATGTTCGGCTCTATCGAAGAACCGTTTGGTCAGGTCCTTAAAATATTCGTGAATCGTCGGGAGTCTGCAATCGCTGTGCAGGTCGACGTTGCGCTAATACCACTGCGGCGATGGTCATGCATGCGTAGGACATAATAGGTCGTACACATGTCTTATATAATAATAATTTGTGCCTAAGGGCATTTTACTTTTAGCGTTAGTTAAATTGTGTAGCCGGCCGGAGACGAACGCGGCTCTATTGCGAACGTTATTAATGTGCGTAGTAGATGACATACGCGAGTCGAAAGTGGCTCCTAAGTATTTGACCTATTTCTCCCAGGAGAGCGATTGGTTATAAAGGGAT